GTTGCCTATATATATGACAGAACAAAGCTTTGTACCTCAGGAGTCAGAGGTGAACGAAGTGAGTCGCATTCAATTTGTCACCGCCAAGTATTAAATGTTTCATTCTGTAATCCTTACTATTTTCATCTGAGTTCACGCAGCTTTGCTTGCCGCACTTTGTCTGCGGGAGTGTTTCGAGATCCCGCTGTATGTGACTGTCGAGAGTATTGTCAGGAAGGCAACGCGTCAGTACGCATTTCTTCACACCCTTTAAGAGCAATATAGTCGGTTTCTAACATAAAAACAGTCCAATCGCCATATGCCATCAACGTTTGCTCAAACAGTTTGCATTGTTTGATTTGCCTTCCACAGGTGAGTGAAATTTATCCTGAAGAGAAGAAATGGAGAACCGGACCTTGAAGGAGGAGACATCGACTGGGCAGCACTACACGCCGGTTTACCATGAGGCTGATTATCCCGAGTTAATGCGCGATGACCGGTGGACACGCGTCGACTGGAATGAGACATCGGAAGTGCACGCAACTGTGCCCTACGCAGGTGAAAGCAAACCAGCCATCACGGATGCAGCTTGTTCAGCATATTCCAATTAATTTGCCTGTGACGGCCGCCAATATTGCAAATTTATTTCGCATTTGTTGTTTTCCAATCGATGGTCTCCGTATTTGCGAACCAGCAGGTTCATTACAAGTCTTCTGTATGACTATTTTACACCGCTCTCTTTAAAGCGTGAATAGGCATAACAAATGTAAAACAACGGTGTTTTCATAAATGCAGTGGTGACGCACCCTTCTTTGAGAAATAAAATGCGTAGTGACTGCGATTCGCAGAGGAAGTGGAAGCTGGCATTCAGGTCACTGGGCCATCGTGCATGTGGGAAATTTTTAGAATCTCGATTATGGTCATGGGTTGATTGCAATCTGCATATATGTCAAGTGCAACTGTGTGGCGATCCCATGTTTAAGTGCGTCCATCATTCATTTTGCAGTACCTCAGAAGAGTTAGCTTTAAAATAGCGAAGGTTCATGGTGGCGTGGAACCACTGCAGCATCCTGCAAGTAAATGACGTTCTGCAAAGTCGAGTGTACACAAATTACGTTACTTGCGTATAACACAAAATTATTTTGCGGAGGCTTTTGGGCTGTGACTGTTCTATTTTGTAGTGTATCTCCATTCTAACTGTTGCAGATGCGACTTCAAGTCAGGCTTGTGTCCAGACATGGTATTCCACTCTGTACGCGAATCAGGATGCACTTTATGTAAGCAAAGAAGGTAGACAAGCTGGCACGCAGAGAGAAGACGGAAATGCAACGTGAAGATTCGTCACTAACAACACACATATTTATTTAATAGAAAATTTGCATTTCTAGCTCCTCATGGAAATGAGTACTATTAAGTAAATGTAAAAAATTTCCAGGTCATTCAGTGATGAACATAAATGGAACCAAACTGCACGATTACCCGTCTCCCGATCACCCACCTGCCTTTACTTATCTCGATGCATCTAATCGCTCATGCGCCATCCAAT